AACAAATTCATGCCCACCCGAGAGGAGTTAATTACGTTTCGTTTGATGACATCATCTAACTGTATACATGCATGTAGTGATAAATTTATTAACCTCAAATACTAATAATAACCAAATGATCAATAGATGAAATATTGAAACTTCATCATTGAGACATGTGCTACGAATGCCCGACCACCTACTGCCTTGTTGAGCTATGTTTTGTGGTATAGGAGTAAGTTGGAATAAAGCTAAGGGCGGCTAGACCAAAACACGACACAAATCCATGAAGTCATTGACAACTAGATTGTGTCATGTTGGTAGGTGTCGACTACATGGTTGGGGTCCGCGAGATGATAGTAATCGATGGTTAGAGACTTTGAATGACATAACTGAAAATTGTTTGCAATGGCGCCCGTGCATTCACTCTTAGCGTTCTCTCAAATAGTAATCCTCTGAATTACCTATCGCCTTTATCTTTCTCTTTTTAAGTTTGTTTCACTAGATCCTACTTCTTGAATAATATCTTCGAACACTAATCGCACCGATTACTGCTAATACTTCTACTATCTCTACTACTATGGGATTTGAAGTGACAATTTTATCTCTGTGTTAATGTGGTATGGCAACATGAACTTATGTACGTGCGTAGGAAGCTCAACGTTGTAACTGAATGACTATTAACCAAATGAAAACAGTACTTCTTGCTCAATTAAAACGAAGAAATATTTCGTCCTGGTTAAAACCAAAAAAACTTATACATCACTGAATTCAATCGAAAGCATATCACAGAGAAAAGAAATCATGACTAGAATAGTCCACAGTTTGAATGAAAGTATCGCACACAACATGTTGATTGATTGACTGACTGACGATACGAACAAACTCTATCACATGATAATCTATGTGTGGACAAGAAATTTGATTTATAATGAATAACTTTGAATTATTCTATTCGATTGACAGCAAAATAGGATTTTTGTACCTTACATCACTAAAAGATCTTAGCTAGACCACCACTAGAAGCTAAGATACACAGATGTTTCGTCCTAATACGGGACTTCTCAGCGGTGTTGATATGCTTGGAACGATTACGAGTTCACCTTACTCGGTAAACGGAGCGAAGACAAATGATCCAGTGACACGATAGACTATTCTAATCCGCTTGACCACGGTCCGGCTAACTGTATCAAGAAGTTAGAAAGTGTATTCTACAAGCACCCAAAAATCGAGTTCATTTATACATCATAGAAACATGCTTGGGAGAGCCACAAAAATAGCGTACTAAGATAATAAATACATCAACCAATAACAGTCAAGGATTTTCCTGGGTGGGAAATGTAATCTCAAGGTCAACGAAGCAACTTATGCGCGAAAACATAAAAAATCCAAAATTAGGACCTTTTCCAAGTGATTTCTTGGGATCTAACGTCCCCAACAAGTGCCTTTCTAAAATCTCGCCAAATGGAATCAAACTTTAGATCCTTAATTTTATGTACGAATAGCTAACCACTAGACTAGTTGAGCCGGCATCCAAAGCTGTACATGTCTGATTCCATTCAATTCACGAGATTATGCGACCATCTTACAATGGCTGTGGAGACTAATTGACTCACGTCTGACATCGCTGAGCTCCAACGATCACGGATTCTGACTACAACTCTACGGAATCCTATATTTATAATTGAGTTACAGAAGTTTCCTCAAAGTTCCCCCCCCCCAAAAAAAAACATTGTTCATTTGAAACACAATTAAAATGGAAATTGAAAAGCCCACACATTTTATTTTATTGTCGTGAAAAATATGAATGTAAAAGGTACACTGTAAATTTTTGAGATGGTGAACAAAATTTGTAGCTCAGATGGATGATTCTGGTGGTGTTTTGTTCTGTGAGCTGGATATTTTGGTTGTGGAGCTTACAGTGTTCTTGTTTTGAAGTATTCGAATACTTCACTTCTGCTGTCTGAAGTTTGTGCTGCTGATGTTGGTTCAGTAGAAGAACAATGAAAGCTCCACAACCGAAACATCCAGCTCAGAGAACAAAACACCACCAAAATATTATTCAGTTTAGAATGTTTTTCTGAGAGTATTGTGAGTATTTGTGACTCATGTGTAAGATAACATTTTAAAGTTTTATGTGTAGCACACAAACCAACAGAATCACTTCAATCAATCCTATGTAGACCAAAGAACAAGATGACAAAAGAAGAAAAACCAAATATCATCTACAAAATAAACTGTTCAGAGTGTGAAAAACACTACATAGGATAAAGTGGACGTCCTATTCAGCTTCGTTTCCGTAAACATCACAGTTAGCAATCAAAAGCCATGACATTTCTTCGCTTATATCAATACACACGGACAATTATGGACATACATTCGACTGGAACAATGTGGAAATACTGGATAGGCGGAGCAAGAAGAACACTAGAGAAATTTTAGAAGATTGGCACTCAGGTCAATCAGCAATCAAGAATACATCGACATTGACCTAATTTATTAACCAGTAGGAAAATCATAGGCAAATATAGGATCAAGAAACAGATTAAAAGGAGGATACAATCAAAATAAAGGTTCAAACAACCACAGGTTTAAGGTCACTAACAGACAATCAAGATTCAGGTCAACAGGACAAGCTACAGGTCATATGTAGAGAAATTCGAACACTTCACTTCTTCTATCTGAAGTTTGTGCTAATGATGTTGTTCAGTAGAAGAACAACAATGAAATCTCCACCAACCAAAACACATCCAGCTCAGAGAACGCAAAACACCACAGACAGACAGATAGATACAACGGAGTGGAGCCTGTGGCTTGATTCGACTCAACACGGGAAAACTCACCCGGCCAGGACACTGTGAGGATTGACAGCTCTTTCTTGATTCGGTGGCTGGTGATGCATGGCCGTTCTTAGTTGGTGGAGCGATTTTTTTGGTTAATTCTGATAACGAACGAGACTTTAGCCTACTAAATAGTAGACTGGTCCTCTGTGCTCGTTTAGGGCATGGCTTCTATTGCTTCTTTATGGAGTAGTGTGGTCGTGTTCCGGCGGGTACGGTGCCAGTTTTTACTTCTTAGAGGGACAAGCGGCACACTTAAGTCGCACGAAATTGAGCAATAACAAGTCTTTGATGCCCTTAGATGTCCGGGGCCACACGTGCGCTTTAATGACTGTGCCAGCGAGTCTGGAAACCTGACCCGAAAGGGTTGGGCACACCGTTTCATCACCGTCATGAATGGGATCGGGGCTTGCAAATATTCCCCGTGAACGAAGAATTCCTGGTAAGTGCAAGTCATAAGCTTGCACTGATCACATCCCTGCTCTTTGTACACACCGCCCGTCGTTACTACCCACTGAATAATTTAGTGAGGTCGTTGGATTGGTGTCATTGTAGTGGCTTTGCCGCTCGACTGATACCGAGAAGATAACCTAATTTGACTATTTACAGGAAGTTAAAGTCGTAACAAGGTTTCCGTAGGTGATCTTGCGGAAGGATCATTAACAGAAAAACACCACACCACCTATAAATTCGTATAAATCCGCTGAACATGTGTCTTGACCCTTCCTCCGAAAAACCTTTCCTACTTTTAATATTTTTCAAAGAAGAAGTTTTAGTAAAAAGAATTTATTTATATCAAATAAGCTTGTTTGACATGATAATATATATATATATATATATATATATATATATATATATATATATATTATATAGTATAAAGGGAAGTTGATGACTTATTAAGTAGTAACTTATACAAAAGAAAAAAAATTAACTTGTCTGTATTGATGATTATTTGGGCACCTGTGTGTGTTTATGTGTGTGAGTGTGAGAACAAACACTTTTACTTTCAACTCATGACACGTTGTACAAAAGCTGATAAAAGTAAACAGAAAAACAAAGGAAATGATGAGAAACGATATATTTAAGTGTATACATATGCATAGTACGCATTCATTCAATCAAATATACGCTAGTAGATACAGGTTAAGGACTTGTTTGTCAATGTAGTTCAGCTGGTTGTATTGTATTCAATGTCTGTTTGCCTCACCAATCTCTCGTGGTGGAGTTGAATATTCTAGATAGGGCTCAGCAATTTAATAGCCTATGACTTTATTACATATTGTAGGAATGATGGATGGAGTGAGTATACGGACGAAATGAATCTCTCTATTCATTTTTGGATATTATACTCATGCAATGACAGTTTGTTCGACGGTGCTAATAAGAAGCTCAATAGGGTTGCAAGGAGACATTTCTATCATCCATTTGTGGAAACAAACAGATATGAGGAAGAAAAGCAAAGCTAAGCAAATATAGGTGAAGGTGAGCTAGATAGTTGGAAGATCTTAAGAACTCAATCAAATTTAGCCAATCCTCAAACAGACGGGGTAGGAGTAGGCAGGATGAAAGCTAGGGGTGGTCAAACCGAAACCTGGCACAAGTTTGTGAAGTCATTGAGAACTGGAGTGAGACATATTAGTGAGTGTAGACTATGTTGGTTGGGGTCTGCGAGGCAGTAGTAACCGATGGTTAGAGACTTTGAATAACATGGCTGAAAATCGTTTGTAATGGTGCAGGTGCATCCATTCTTCGTGTTCGTTCAAATTCTAATCTTCTGAATTCACTATTACTTTTATCTCTCTCCACTAACCGGAAGTATATTCTAAAAGATTCAAACTACGGAAAGACAAAGTAACAATAGCATCTAACCGTAGCGGTCTAAAAAGTCGTAGAAATAATGTTTCCCATAAGATTAACGGATATCACGCTTGTTTACAGCTGGACATAGCTACCAACATAACACTTATAAGCAGAAGAACATGGGAGAAGATTGAGAGACCGCACATCTATCCAACTCAACAGCCAGTGCACAGCGTATCAGGTGGAAAGTTAAACATTGTTGGCGAGATACGCTACATAGTCACAGTCGAGGAAATAACAGCGAGGGGAGTAATATTTCTAGCAGAACATCTACTTCTTGATTTATCGGGACTCAACACCAGATAGAGGTTAAAGCTGACAAGTTGCCTCATCAACTTGATCCGCAAAAACATTTATGCTATAGAAGTGGACGACCACCATTAGCCACTTACAACCACTGGACGGCCGTTTCGTCCTAGTATGCGACACATCAGTGGCAGTGTGCATCCATGACTTTTACTACTACTACTGGCAGGATTCGAATCCAGGACCTTCGATCTTGCACACGAACACCTAACCTCTGAACCACTGGGTCGGCATCCAACTCATAACAGGACAAAAAGGCCGTCCAATGCTTCCAGACTAACCTAAGTGTTATGCTCTTCAATTGATATACTTGAATGCTATTACGAGTTCACCTTACTCGGTAAACGAAGCGAAGACAAATGATCCAGTGACACGATAGGCTACTCTAATTTGAGCGCCCCAAAGCCTCGCTAAGTAGAAGAAGAAGCCTTGATAAGGCGAAGAGAATGTATTCTACAAGCACACAGTCAGTCACTCAGTCAGTTGCAACGTAGAACTACGTACGTATGTACATAAGTTCATGTTGCCATACCACATTAGCACAAAGACGCAGATGTCAAATCAAATCCCATAGTGATAAAGATAGTAGAGGTATTATTGGTGATGAAAAAGACTAGGGTTCGAAGATATTATTCAAGAAGTATAATTAAGTGAAATAAGGTTAGAAAGACAAAGGTAGAGGTGCTGACGAATCAAGAAGATGAGAATTAGAGAGAACACAACGAATGGATGCACTTGCGTCATTGCCAACGATTTTGAGCCATGTCTTTCAAGGTCTCTAACCATCGGTGACTTTCGCCTCGCGGACAATTGACCAATTTGGTCTCATGTGCTGTTACGGGTATGAGGGCGGTTATCACTTCCCAGCTGCCCACACCGGCTGCACCCAGAAATCAAGTTCATTTATACATCATAGAAACGTCCTTGAGAGAGCCACAAAAATAGCATACTAAGGATAATAAATACATCAACCAACAATAACGGTCAAGGATTTTCCTTGGGTGAGAAATATAATGTCAAGGTCAACTGTGACCAGACCAGTCCATGCTCGAAATCATAAAAAAATAAATTCAAAATTATTACATTTATCAAGTAAGTTCTAAGGATCTTCTAACTTCCCCACCAACATTAAGACGAACAACCGAAAATTATCATTATTTACCTACCTTCATATGGTACAAGACCTTGACTATTTTCTAAACCAGATAATAATATATCCACTTGATCATCACGTAATTTTTCACCAAGTGCTGTTAATAAATGTCTTAATTCAGCTGCACTAATAAAACCATTATCTTCTTTATCAAATACACGAAATGATTCAATAAATGTTTCTTGATCCACTTCAACTTGTTCTTTTAACAAACCATGATAAATCGGTACGAATGATTCAAAACTAATACGTTCATCTAATTCAGTTAAGGTGTTAGGGGTTAAAGCAAAAGAAGAAAAAAGGAACGGACAATTAGACAGAAAGTATGCAAATGTATTCATAATAAGCTATGACATATCAGCCTGAAGTCATTGACGAGTGGACTTAGAGCCATGTCGGTAATTGTCGACTACCTACCTGGTTGGGGTCCGCGAGATGATAATGATCGATGGTTAGAGACCTTGAATGACATGGCTCAAAATCGTTCGCAATGGCGCCGGTGCATTTATTCTTTGTGCCCTCTCAAATCCTAATCTTCTGGATTCTTCGACACTTCTACTTTTGTCTTTCTAACTTTATCTCACTGAATCATACTTCTTGAATAATATCTTCTAATTCTAACCTCTCTGATTACTTTTAATACCTTTACTACCTCTACTACTACTATTGGATTTGAATTGACAATTATATCTCTGTGTGCTAATGTGGTATGGCAACACGAACTGATGTACTTACGTACATACGAAGTTCTACGTTGCATCTGACTGACTGACATATCAGCCAGCACATAAGATGAAGTTATTAAAATGAATACATCAAAGTGCTGGACAGTTGGATTCAGACAGAATAAATTCTCTTTTTTAAGTTTATTTCACTTGAATCCTACTTACTTACGCTTGTTACCCTCAAATGGAGAATAGGCTGCCGATCAGTGTCCTCCAGCCTCAATCAGTCAGAGTCAGTCAGATGTAACGTAGAACTTCGTACGTACGTACATCAGTTCATGTCGCCATACCATATCAGCACAGAGATGCAATTGTCAATTCAAATCCAATAGTAGTAGAGGTAGTAAAGGTATTAGAAGTAATCGGAGAAGTTAGGATTGGAAGATATTATTCAAGAAGTATGATTCAGTGAGAAAAGTTTAGAAAGACAAAACTAGAGGTGTTGAAGAATCCAGAAGATTAGGATTTGAGAGAGCTCAAAGAATGGATGAACTTAGAAAGTCAAAACTAGATTTCAAGAGGCCAGGAATGACGTTTCGTGAACTCGCATCGTTTACATTAGCGGTGCAGTGAGATAAAGGAATGTGAGTAGAGTTAGTTGTGGAGAGAAGGGAGGTATGTGTGGGTGTAGGGAGGGTTTGATTTCGATCAATTTGGTCTCTCGTGCTGTTACAGGTATGAGGGCGGTTTTCACTTCCCGGCTGCACACACCGTGGAAGGTTGTTTCTTGAGGGACCTGAAAAGGAAGATAGATTAGTGTTGGTCTTGGAGACCTGGGGGCGTAACCGCAGAGTCCAAGGGACAAATGCTTGAGGCCGGTCACGCACGGCCTTTTTATGAAGGGTTTTTTGAGGATTAGCTCCGCTCTTAAAGACCCTTAGTGGGCACCCTTACCCAAGGAGACGGAAATCCGTGAGGTAGGGTGAGGTGTGACATTTTTGGGGTCGACATTTTCTAACCCTTCCTTCCTTGTGAGAAGGCAGCAGCATCGCTGCAGATGCTGGTTGTCCGAGGGAAACACCTTACTGCTGTCACACCCCTCTGCACTCAGCAGTACGACTTCGCTCTCAGACCTTGAGTAGCTGCTTTTAGCCTCATCGTTCTCCAATCCACCTGCCTGGCATGGTAGGACCTGCAGGAACATATGTTCCAGCCAGTATAGCTCGGTTGGGTCATCACGATAGGCAAGCCCGACCACCACGTCAAGGTAGCAGCTACGGTCGGGCCTCCAGCCTACTCTGTCCTGGGCTTCCCTTTCTAGTTCTGTCCAATTTTCGTTCGTTCTTCTTGCTTTGCCTTCCTCTTTTTCTTTGACCCTGAGTGTTCCAAGTGAGAGCTTGTCTTGTGATGCAGTCGGGTGCTTTCCGCTATGTGTGTCCTATCCACCAACTACAGCGTTTCTTCTTGATTTATCCCTCCACTGGAATCTGGTTTGTTCTCTTCCGCAGTAGGCTGTTGCTGGTGTCTGGCCAACGGATCCGGAGTATTCTTTGTAAACAACTATCTTCTGAATGATAGCTATCGTAGTTCCCAAAGTTTCTGCCAAATACAGTAAAATTATCTTGACATTTGTATTGAAAATTCTGATTTTGGTGTTGGTTGATATTTACTTGGAGTTTTATATGTCCTTCAATTGTAGAAATGCTTCCCTTGCTTTGCCGATCCGGCGCCTTTGCATTTCCATCGGCTCCACCTTGATTGTTAATGATGCTGCCCAGATATGTACAGGTTTTATTGTCCTCTAAGGTTTCTCCATGAAGAGTGATTTGGTTGGTGCATCTTGTGTTGTATCATAGAATTTTGCTTTTCCCTTTACGTATGTTGATACTACCGCTGTTGAGGCCACCGCCACACTGGTCGTTTTCTCTTGCATTTGTTGTTGCGTGTGCGATAAAAGAGCCAGATCGTCCAGCTGCACCTGTCTTTCCAATCTATACCGTGCTTTCCTTCAGATGTTGACGTCTTCATAATCCAGTCTAACTAGATTCTACTACTTCTTGGATAATCTCTTCCAACCTTAATCTCTCCGATTACTGCTGATACTTCTGCTACTGCTACCTCTACTACTACGGGATTTGAATTGACAGTTGCATTTCTGTGTGCTAATGTGGTACGGCAACTTGAAATGATGTATGTACGTACAAAGTTCTACGTTATAGTTGGTTGACTGACTGATTTCAATATACGGATAGAATTATATATTTTGATAAGATGAATACTATGAAATAACTACTCTTCCTAGTGTGTAATTTCTAAACTCCTTTATTAAGGAATTCAAAGTTCTTCTTTATTGGAATAAATCAATAGGTATTATGATTTTAAGTAGTGCATCTCTGATAGAATAAGAATGTTCCTGATAGTAGTAGAACACTTGATGAAATAATAAAAGCTTACATCCATTTATAGTAATCTTGATAAAATGAGTAATTCCAGACATATCATAATGTTATGCTGCTTTGTACTACATACAATAAAGTGAGAAACAGAAGTATGGACAGGTAGAGTTGTGAGTAGGCGGATTATTTACTCACCTTTTCAAGGTCACCATAACACACACTAGTCTTATATGTGTAATAATTTATTTAGCGTTCAGTTTAAAAAGAAAAACAGGTTACTACGCAATTTTGACTACTTTACTTTTTATGCCGTTCGTTAGTAAGCGAAACCGGTGTACTGTAACTAAAAATTACACTTTGCGAATACTATTGCGTGTAAAATTATACAATCAAGATAAAATATCAAGTTGAACTATGCATAGAGTCGATTTTAAGATAATTCAATGACAATGTAAGTAGCACGAATTGAATGGAAATTAGAAAACAATGAACTATCCTTGAGACCGCTTCACTTACACCGAAAGGTCTCAACAGTACTGATGGCCTGGTGTGTGACGAAATCTCAGCACGCATGCAGAAGGCTCGATTGGCTTTTGCCAAGCTGCGTCACTTATGGCGTAGGCGAGATATCCGTTTGCTGACTAAAGGACGAGTGTACTGCGCAGTAGTTCGCTCCGTCCTACTCTATGGCTGCGAAACATGGCGGGTTAAAGTATAAGATATTCGTTGGTTGCTTGTTTCCGGTCAAAGGTGTCTTCGAAACATTGCTCGTATATCGTGGGACACCCGAGTGAGCAACGCTGTTGTTAGGAAACGGGTACTAGGTAAGGATGGCAGATCAATAGATGAAGTAATGAAACTTCATCAGTTGAGGTGGTTGGGACATGTGCTGCGTATGCCTAACAACCGACTGCCTCGACGAGCTTCGTTTTGTAGTGTAGGAATAGGTTAGGGGCGGCCAAACCAAAACATGGCATGCAAATCTATGAAGTCACTGGCAACTGGACTGAACCATGTTGGTAGGTGTCGACTATCTGGTTGGGGTCCGCCAGACGACACTAAACGATCGTTAGAGACCCTGAATGATATGGCTCAAAACCGTTTGCAACGGAGCAGGTGCATTCATTCTTTGTGTTCTCTGAAATTATAATCTTCTGAATTCCTCATCACCTTTATCTTTTTCTTTTCAAGTTTATCTCACTAGATTCTACTTTTCGAATCATATCACCAATTACTGCTAATACATCTATTCGAGTAGAGAGCTTGTATAAGGTTAATGATGAACTTCCTCAGTACACCTTTCTGTGGCAGACCTTGCCATAGAACCTCACGATCGACAGAGTCGAATGCCGCTTTAAGGTCAAGGAATACAACCATGGTGGGACACCTATATGTGCGTCTGTATTCCAAGACCTGTCCATACAGCCACGTCCAGGTCTGAAACCAGCCTAGTTTTCTCTAGTCTGCTCTTCACAAGCTCTAGTTAGGCGTCTGAGTATTATCGAGGCTAACGTTTTAAACAATATATTAGTTAAACTGATTCCTCTGCGACTATCACAAGAGGACTTTTGTCCTTTTATATAAATTGGGACAATCAGTGATTAAGAACGGTCAGATGAGATTACGCCCAGTTCCCAGATTCTACCCAAGATCTCAGTCAATCTAACTCTTAAAACTGGACCACCATCCTTAAAAATCTTACCTTACAATCACCTGGAAAATATCTAACACCTTTATTGGTTCATTCAACCAAATACATATATGATAAGATGAATTCTCATGACAAATTAAAAGTCGGAGAAAAAAACAAAACAACAACTTACTTGGATTGTTTTGATAACCATATTTGCCAATATCCGACTCTGTTGGATTCAGACCCATTGCACGTACAACTTCGCCAATATCTTTTGCTTCAATTTTTTCATCTCCTTTTGTGTCAAACAGTAGGAACATGTCGTGAACATCTATATTTACAAATTTTAAACTATATTAAAAGAAAAAAAACTCTCTAACCATTCAGATCGTTTTCACTTAAGTCAACCTAGAATGAATTAGAAATAAAATAGAAAAATATTGACTATACCATTTTTCCAATGCAGTGAAATAACTTTTGTTGATGCACGGATCAGTTAATGAATAGGGTAAAATCAGCAAATGATTTTTCTGAAAAAAATAAGAAACCTGAGAATTAAAAGAATGCAAGAAAGTAATTATGAACTGAATTGTAGTAAACACAATAGGAAGTAACTTGGTATAGGTTGGAAGAAAGTTAGGGGCGGCTAAACCAAAAAATGGCACAAATCTATGGAGTCACTGACAAATGGACTAAGTTATGTTGGTACGTGCAGACTACCTGGTTGAGCCCCGCGAGATGATAGTAATCGATGGTTAGAGACCTTGAATGATATAGCTCAAAACCGTTTGAAATGACACAGGTGCATTGATTCTTTGTATTCTCGTAAATCCTAACCTTCTAAATTCCGCATCACCTTTATCTTTTCCTCCTTAAGTTTATTTCTCTAGATTCTCCTGCTTGAATAATATCTTCGAACCCTAATCTCTCCTATTATTGCTGATACATTTACCACCTCTACTGCTAAGGGACTTGAATTGACAATTACATCTCTGTGCTAATGTGGTATGGCAATATGAACTGATGTACGTACGTACGTACGATGTTCTAGGTTGCTGTTGATTAATTGACTGATTGGTCTGCCCTATGACTTAATGCTATACTTACATCACTCGAGTCGTGAGTATGGGTCTCAGATGGACAACAGGAGTCGACGTCAAAACTTTGTAAAGATATATCAAACCCTATCTGTTGTTTGATCTGAACTGGTGTGCGCACGTTTAATGAAACCAATGTGAATGACATAAGTGGTTTCAGATAGTCTGATTCAGAATACGTACTCCGTTGTAGTATTCAACTTTTGATAAGTCAGTGAACTGATATAGTTTGTTTAGATAGGACAAGATTTCCACTATGGGCGAGCTGCTGTGAGTTAAAGAAGCAGGTATACACAGAATCGGAATAAAGTAATAAACAAGTGACACAGTGTGAAAAATATATGAATGCTAGCAAATAATTGTGAGCACGACTTGTGAGAATGAGGACTTCAAATATGAATTTTCCAGTCGTAATTATCATTTACTTTGTGTGGGGTCGACGTAACTATTCGGGTTCCCAGACCAAAGCAAACGGTTTCCTTAAAGGAGCACCTCTCGAGCCTTTGACCTACAAGTCTAGTCCGAAAGGCGGTGAAGCAACATCAAGAGTTGTAGCCTCATAGTAACGGCAAAACAACAATACGTTCATACACCATTCGTTCTCCCAGAACTCTGGCGTCCATATGCACCAGTGGTTTGTACTCAGTTTTCAACTCCCTTAGGTGGATCCTCCATATCCATCAACCTAATTAAAGCGCCAGACATTCGCTTCTCATTCTTATATATCGTAAGCAACATCGCTGCCACGAGAAGGCAGTGGCTACATACGCGTGACCATATGAAGACATTTAGAGAGAAATTTCTGGTTCCTTGC